AAGTGTGAAGTCTACGCGAAAAGAAACATCTGAACTGAAGTAACGTACCGAAAGTATGTCACCTCTCTGATATGAATTTCCTAATATTTCACCGTTCCGAGAAATTGAATTCTCTGTCAATCTTGATCCTAGAAAGGACCAATATTCGTAACTCTGTATTGATCGTGTTTCCATCAATGACTTCCTGACAAAGAATCACCTGATCAAGTGTTTCCTCCTTGGGAGAATACCTATTTTGTTCATACGCGAATCAATGAGACTCTATATCAACTACTGTCAGTTGAACAATTCATTCTCCTTTACCTCGTATCATGACTTATTTGATCAGCTTAGAGAATCCATTGTATTCTCTAAGATTGACTTACGGTCAGGATACCCACAAATCCCTATCAAGAAACTTGAACAAATTGACGACCAAGAATCGCTGTCCTTTACAATGAACTGACGAGTTGTTCGATCAAATTCAAGGAACCCGTTTGTTAGAAGTTATAGACAGCTCGACCTTGTTGAATGAACGGATGCCTTGTTATAATAACTTAATTGCTTATCGTCGAAAACATTAGTGAAATAAAGTGATGCTGACAAGGCAAATAGTTAAGAAAATTGACTCGTTCGTATATGCTATTAACGTGAAAGATCGCGACGTGGAACAATACAAAACAAGATGTTAAACAGTGACACCAACAGTGAAAGACTGAAGAATGAAGAAAATATAGCTCACACTGGTCATACAGCCTAGAATAATATTTATGGAAAATATCATTTCAACATACAACTTGGATCATATGAGGAATGTTACAAATGCAATTCTAAGTCTAATCTCCCAGGATTCACAAACTCATCATAACTAACCCCATCCGGGAAAGCTTTAGCAAACTCTAGTTTGTCTAAAAGCTCGTCAACAGAGAAAGAAGAAATAAAAAGTTTCCTCTGACTGGAAGCCATGAAGTTCTGCCTCACCGCATCATCTAAGAATTTGAGAAGGTTATTGAAATAACCGTCAATGTTTAAAAGACCAATGGGTCTATTGTGTAACCCTTCAGAAGCCCACGAGATCAAGGTGAAGAAACCTTCCATAGTGTCAACTCCTCCGGGAAGAACGATGAAAGCTTCCACAGCATGATTCATCTCAAAATATTTGTAGTAATTGCTGGAAACTGTGTGCTCTACGCCATATGTAGGTCCGTAGACCCGTCGTGTTGCTATGTACCCAGGAATGAAACCTCTGACGAGACCACCATTGTTGAAGACTATTGAAGCAACAGCTCCTTGTAGGCCAACGTTGCCTCCTCCATAAGCAAGACTAATTCTTCGCCTTATTAATTCTCTTCCTAAATCTACTGCAGTAGCCATAAACTTTGGAGTTTTACCAAGAGAATGACTGCCAAGTAAACCAACGAATCTTATGGTGTAAGGAAGTGTTCGAGAAGTTCCTTCCATAATATGAGAATGTGAGATACTCTTTTCATAATTGCGATATATATAGTCTTTGAAACCTGACCATTGATGGAAATGTAATTATCAATAGCCAAAATACGTACAGTAATATGGAATCGATTTACCTACAGACGAGAACGCATTCGCCAATACTACAGTCTGCTGACGATATGACATATTGAGACTCTTGAACAGTTAGATTTGCTATCCTGAAACATGTTCAAATCCGAGACGAAAAGTCAGAACGGCTATTTCCTAAGACAACGACCTCTTGAGTAACTTCCACAGAGTGAAATATTTGAAGGATGAAAATCTACGATTAGTAACGATAATTTGCAAACGTTATGTTTGTAGCTTGTGACTCACATCCTTGAATGACTCGACTTGCTGTGTTAACTACAATACCTCTCTTGATCGATCTTGAATTCCATTCTTTGTGTCAAAATACTAAAACCACGATCCTTCATTAAACCAAAGATGCTTCATGATACCGATCTTTGAAAACTATAGTCTGTGAACTACGTGACTCGATCACAATAGTAAAACTACCCTGACTTGAACATTATGTTAAACCTCTCTAGGGAACTGCTGCAAAACCGTTAATGCAATTACATTATCTATGAATATTATTATCAAGAAACTCTGTTTTGACCCTAACAAAGGAATATATGTGCAACGACTAGAGAAGAAATGACGTCACAAGGATCAAGCAAAAATTATTCAAAGCGAAAATCCCCAACCTATATATTATATTGGAGTAAGAATAGTAAGATTTCTTACTTTATGAATTCGTGAATTGAATCTCATACCGAATATATTTCCTTCTTCACTCGAAATGAAATCAACCATAGTGTTACATCAAACCCGTCATTTTCAAAAACGTATATTCCAAAATCGATGAAGAAAGTTGAATACGACAAGACGTATATGAAACGCCACTCTAATGTTATCACCTGTGGATACGAATTAATGCAAAGACTCATTAACGATAAATGAGAGCTACCATGAAGATGAATGAAGAAATGTTTCAACACAAGGTCGATGAATGACGAACTACTATACAACCGATCGACAGTACCTCCTCATAAATGATGACAAATCCTATATTCTGGAAATCATGAACCAATAAAAGCCAATTGATGTTACTTACGAATCATTGCTGAACTATGAGAACGATGTGAGGATATTTTGGATGAAGATTACGCTATGACATATGAATTAAACAACATCCAAATCTTCCACTACAA